TAAGAAAATAAGAGCTCGATTTGTAAAAATATTCTCTAAAAGATTGTCTCGTAGATACTTTTAAAATTTATACATTAATAATTTTTATCAATTGATAAATCTATTTTAAAACATATGTAAAGAAGTAAAGCAAGCAATAATTATAGTTAATGCCAATTGATTGAGCAACTATACTGGACATATAAGATTCGCATATCATAGTTATAAGATACTTGTTAATTGTTTTTTAAATATGATAATATTTTGTAAACCAACTACATAATATAATACGATAAGTAATAAAAACACAATAATTGTTAATAAGATTAACAAGTTTCTTGCCGACCGGCCTGTTTAGGGGGCAGGGAACTGTCCTTGCATCAGAAAGGTCCTGGGTTCGAATCCCGGGAAAGGCATGGATGTTTCTTTCTCTCTCTGTGTGCTCTATGTCCTTTCTCCTTCGTGTGTAAATGTGACCCGCCCTATAAACGGGTTGGGGTTGTGTGAATGGCGGGGCAAAAGTCGAATTCCTAGCCATAGATGGCACCACTGAAAAACAGGAACAATCGCACCCCCACTGCCTAAACAGGCATACAAAAAAAAGAAGAAGTTTTTTTGAAATAGGACTTATTTTCTCTGTTAAGTTATTATTAAACGGAAAAATATATTTGTTAACAAAATATTTATTTTCTTTAGAGTTTTTCTTATGGTTTAATGATATATAAAAAAATATAAAATATTAAATAAAAAGGATACAAAATTTGATTATCAAAATATGCTTCTGAAAACAAAATCCTTTTAAACTGAAACTAAAATTACGTTGTTTTTCAGTCATCATGTTGAAATGAAACGTAGCAACCGAAATAACGATAAAGCTCTGAATATGACTAATACCTAGCAGTATTACGCGGAAATGCATAGATTCAATGAGAAATTGTTAATTCTCGTTTATTCCAAACATTTATTCCATATGTCTCAGCGAAATAACATTAAATGATCGTTACTACATTTCATTTTATGCTCGCTTATTAACATTAATCCGTTGTTAACGAGAATAAGTCCTGAAAAGGCTGAATTTATTCGGTCCTGAAATCATATTGCGTTTTCTCAAGCAAATAATTTTGACAAGTTGATGAAGGTTTGGAAAATCGCACAGAAATGAATGCTGTTTCGTTAATTGATATTCTACAAACTGTGCTGATTAATGTGATAACTAAATGAACTAATTATAACTATCTTAATTAATATTGTTTAACATTGTCATGTTGAATTTATGGTGCGTTTTGTTATGTTTCAAGTCCATTTAATTTTCAAGTGTGAACTGTTGTTTTTAAAAAATTTTTTTAATCAAACTTTTGAATTTTACAGGAATATGAAAAAAATTATTATGATTACAATTATTCATTAATAAACCTAACGAACGAAAATAATATTTTTAGATTTAAAATTTGTAGGGTTCAAAGTTTGAACGAAAATCTGTCTGTAGATTCTTCGAAACGTGACATTTTATTCAAGCTCATGTATAACACGCTGGTAGTAAACTCATGCATTGGCTTTATCGACTGAAAAGAAGCTGTTATTTGCCATATCAATTTTACAATACCAAGTAATATAGCAAAGGTGTATAAATTCAATTTTCAGTGATTTCATTCATTCTTTGAATTTTTTCCACGTGTCACAGAGAAATTGTATTAAATGGTCATGACTGTATTCATTTAATGTTCGTTTATTGATATTAAATCCGTTGTTAATGATAAGTCGAAAAAAAGCAGAATTAGTTTTGCTCTGAAATCAAATTGTGCTGTGTTATCTCATGCCATTGATTTTGGTAAGTTGATGAAGGTTTGGAAGGTCAAACTCAACTAAATACTATTTCGTTAATTTCTATTCTACCAAATAAAGTGATAATAAAATCAACTAATTATAACTGTTCCAATCAATATTATTTATCATTGTTCTTTCAAATATATGTTCAGTTTCCTTTTGTTTCACGTCCGTTCAATTTTCAAATGTGATAATATTTTTTTAATTTTCATGAGAATCTGAGAATTTGAGAAGTTCGTGAAAAATGATTCGAATTGAAATTATTCTTAATTAGACAGAAATAACACACAAAACAACTTTTGTTAAGTTCCAAAGGGGGAACTTTTACCATAGCTCATATATTGAATGCCCGCCTGTAAACTCACACCTTTGCTCTCTCGATTTAAGTGACTCTCTAATCTCACATTGTTAATTTACCAGGATCATTACTACAATACCAAAAATCGTGACAAAAGTGCGTAGATTCGATAAAAAATTATTAAGTCCCTTTACCTTCCAAGCATTTATTCAATGCTTCTTAGAGAAATTTTATTAAATGATTGCAACTGAATTTCATTTTATGCTTAGTGGTAAAACCTCCTTACTGAGAGGGTGCTGTGAGCGCATCAACAAGCAGTGAACATGTAGACACGGAAGTGTTAAGTTGTATTAATCCTATTTTCATTATTAAATATTTGTTTTGTTATATTTGATTTGATTTCGCCGATGAATTATTTTGAACTATTGACACAAAACCACTGAACCTCCCTTTATATTGATATGAACACGGAACATTTATGGTGCAATCGGCCAAAGGAAGCTGAATTGATTTAAACAGATTTGACGTCATCGGCGAACGAAATATCCAGGTAAGAATTTATTATTTACATTGAAACTGAATTACCTGGATAGAAATAAATATGGCAGAAAATATTTCAGAATTGAAAAAGAAGCGTACCGCTGTACGAACAGCACTGACAAAATTGATTAATAAAATTGAAGAATCGATTAATGACGAAACAGAATTACTGGAACAATTTGAAGCTTTTTTAGCACAATTGAATGAAAAAGAAAGCAAATAAAATTTTTTGAATGATGAAATTGTAGATCTTTTGTCTGAAGATACAATTTCTGAAGATATTGTAACTTCTGAAGAAATCCAAGAAAAAATAATTTTTTTGGAAAACAAAACTTTCTATAAAAATAAAGAAAATGAATTCTATCCCAGCTGATACAGTTTCAAATACCTCTGAAACAAATGATTCAAATAATTCTGAATGCATGAACATAAATCTACCTAAATGAAATATAAATAAATATGCGGGAAATTATGCGGGATGGTTAGATTTTTACAATTTATTTGAAAGTTGTATTCATAATAATGTAAAATTAAGCAAAGTTGATAAATTTAATTATTTGAAATCGTATTTATGTGGAAATGCTCTTGCATGCATTAACGGATTTGCAATTTCTGATGAGAATTACGATAAAGCCCTAGATTTATTAAAGGATAGATTTGGGAACAAAAACATGTTAATCAACGCTCATTTGAGTGATTTATTAAATTTATCGCCTGTCAAAAATCCTAATGATGTTATGAGTCTTAGAAATTTATATGACAGCGCGGAAACACAAATACGCAGTTTAGAAAGCTTGGGTATAAAAGGAGATACTTATATCAGTTTATTGACACCCATTTTAATGAAATTAATTCCTTCAGAATTTGTTTTGCAATTTAATCGATCCCAAAATGATAAGGAATTTGATTTAAGTGCTCTATTAATGTTTCTCAATTCAGAAATACGGAGCCGCGAACGATCACTTCAAATAAATAATCATAAACCATAATCATCTTATTTCCTTCCCCCACAAGAAAGATAAAAAAAATACGAATTATGGGTTTGTTAAACGTAATAGCACAGGCATGCCCTTGAAAAAAGAAAACACTTTTTCTACGATCTCATCTCAACAGAGCCTCTCATTGATGCCAGGCAATGAGAAATGCTTATTCTGCAATAAGTCACATAAATTAGAATCGTGTTATACATTTAATGCTAAGGAAAAGAGAGATATTTTGAAAAAGAAAGAATGTTGTTTTTTATGCCTTAAACCTCGTCATCGTGTTGCAGAATGTTCGATTAAAGAAAACTGTTCCTTTTGTGGGGGATCCCACCATATTTCAATATGTTTTCGGAAACAAAATGATTCGAATATTGAAAGTCCTAATCAGAAAAATGTAACAGATAGCGTCGTTTCGGCAGTTTTTAAAACGAAAGCTAATAATACTAAATCCGATAGCATTTTGTTACATACATGCGCTGCATTAATTGGGGATGAAAATAAAAAGGAAATATGCCACGTTTTCCTGGATAATGGGAGTCAGCGTAGCTTTGTTTCGACGTCCCTTGTCAAAAAATTTAACTTTCCTATAATCAGAGAAGAAAGTATTTCAATTTGCACATTTGGCGGTAATGAAAACAAAGGGAAAACATATAATGTCGTGAAAATTAAATTGTAAAATAGACATGATCCAAATTTATTCATCGAAATTGAAGCAATTGAAACAGATAATATAACGGCCTCACATTTACCGACCTCTCCTGAAAACATTGATAAAAAATTTAGACACTTAAGAAATATACAATTAGCTGATTGTTATGAGTTTAATGATAAAGAAATAACAGTTCTCTTGGGTGGGGACTATTACTATGAAGTAGTTACTGGGCGAATTATGCGATTAAACAAAAACTTAGTAGCAGTCGAAACGTTGTGGGGATGGTCTTTACAAGGGGGGAGCACAAATTGCGAGGAATTATTTACAATGAGTGTTATTGTTAATGAGTCGATCATTTCCAAACAACTTAGTGAATTTTGGGATTTAGAAAATTTAGGAATTGAGGCAGAGATATCTGACGATAAAATTAATGATAACGATATAATGTCCGAATTTGAAGCTGGAATTTCATATGAAAATAAACGCTATAAAGTCAAATTTCCCTGGAAACCGCATATGAAATCGTTGTTAGAAAACAATGAACAAGTGGCAAAGAATAGATTTATGAAATTAAGATCTACTTTAAGAAATGATTCTACTTTACTTAGTGAATATAGCTCAATATTAAAGAACTATCTTTCCGAGAATATCATTGAACGTTGAAGAAGAGAATTTGCAGAAAAACGCATTTTATCTACCACATAGAGCAGTGATTCGTACTGATATGACTACAAGCAAAGTACGGATTGTGTTTGATGCAGGATCACATGATAAAGGACAGTTAAGTTTGAATGAATGTCTACACACCGGCCTTAATTTCATACCAAACTTGTTTAGTCTCCTGATCAAATTCAGGAAAACCCCAATTGCCTTCGCAGCTGATATTAAAATGGACTTTTTGATGATTGAAATTAATGAATGTGAAAATAACTTTACAAGATTTTTCTGGGATGATGATCCAGAAAATTTGGATTTGGAAAACAAGAAGTTGGACGTGTTCCGAATGTGCAGAGTTTTGTTTGGAGTGAAATCAAGCCCTTTCCTACTAGCAGCTACAATTAAACATCATCTGAAAAAATACATGGACACATTTCCGTCGACTTACAAGCATTTGAATCAGTCTCTGTATGTCGATGATTTCCTTTGCGGAGAAGACAATGTTCAACAAGCTTTGAAAATTTGTAAAGAAAGTGAACAGATTTTTAAAGATGCTAGCATGGATCTTCGAAAATGGAGGAGTAACTCACCTGAACTTACCCAAGAATTGAAGGATTTGAATTTTGAAGTTGATAAATCTGGAAGTGCACTGGACACTAACTTGATAACTTCTAAGGTCCTAGGAGTTGGATGGAATGAGAAAACTGATACATTTTATTTTGATTCTAAAAATCTGGAAGCATTTCTCTCCAAAAGAAAGGAAACTAAAAGATACTTATTACAAGTAGCAGGTCGATTATTTGATCCTATAGGTTTTGTTAGTCCATACACTATTCGAGTTAAATGTTTGATGCAAGAAATTTGGTGTTTAGGTCTGGACTGGGATGAAAAGTTGCCTAAACAATTAGGAGTTGCTTGGAACAAATGATATAAGGAATCGAGTATTTAAAGAAAATACGAATTCCACGTTGCTACTTTAAAGAATTGTTACCTGGAAGTACAATTAGCATACAACTGCATTGCTTTTCTGACGCATCCAAGAAAACTTATTGAACTGTGGCTTATTTACGTATAGAATTGATTGATCGAAATATTATTTCATTTGTAGCTTCAAAAAGTAGAGTAGTACCTCTAAAGACACTATCAATCCCAAGACTGGAGCTCATGGGCGGACTTTTATCAGCAAGAATAAGCCATAAAATTGAATCTGTTCTAGAATTACCTCTTAAACGATTCTATTGGACAGACTCGTCAATAGCATGTTACTGGATCAAAGGAGACCCGAATAGACACAAAGTGTTCGTGAAGAATGGAGTACAAGAGATACAAAAACTGAGCAAACCCGACCAGTGGCATCACTGTATAGGAAAAGACAATCCTGCTGATCTGATAAGTCGAGGAGCATCCTTGAATGATCTTAAGATCAACGAATTACGGTGGCATGGCCCCACCTGGTTAACATTGAATGAAACAGAATGGCCAGTATCGTTAGAACCAGTAATACAAACTGATAAGAACATCGATGAATTGGAAATCAAGAAATCAGTTACTGTAAATGCAACAGTTGAAAAAGGGCCAGCAGATGATTTGATCGCAAGATATTCATCATTCAGTAGACTAATTAGAATAACAGCTTTATGCTTACGATTTGTGCATAATTGTAAAATGGAACCAACATTAAGGAAAACCGAGTGTTTAAGTGCGTCTGAATTAGAACGAGCCACGGAAATTTTAGTAAAACATGTACAGTTTTCTGAATTTCCATCTGAAGTCAAGTGTTTGAAAAAGGATCACGCTATTCCAAAAAATAGCAAAATATCATCCTTAAATGTATTTTTGGACAAGAAAGAAATATTGAGAGTCGGAGGAAGATTGAAACATTCTAGACTTCCTGAATTTCAAAAACACCAAATACTTTTGCCTAAGAATCATCACCTGACTGAACTCATCATTGATTATTTTTACAAAAAATCTTTGCATTCTGGAGTACAAACTACCCTGAATTTGATAAGGCAATTGTATTGGATTACATCTGGTCAAAACCAAGTTAGAAGAATATTAAATAAGTGCATTACTTGCTTCAGATCGAAAAACCAAACCATCAACCAAATGATGGGAGATTTGCCAAGAGACAGAATTGTACCATCGAGACCTTTTGAAAGGGTCGGACTGGATTATGCAGGTCCCATAATTACGAAACCAAATTTGAAAAGATCAGAAGTTACTTTAAAATCCTACATCGCTATCTTCATCTGTTTCTGCACAAAGGCCACGCACTTCGAAGTTGTGTCCGATTTGACGACCGAGGCTTTTATGGCTTGTCTTAGAAGATTTATTTCAAGAAGATCCAAGCCATCCATCATCTGGAGTGACAACGCCACAAATTTTAAGGGTGCAAAAAATATCCTTAATGAGTGGGAAAGAATTTGTAAATCCACTACTGTTCAACGATTTAGTGCAGAAGAGAGTATTCAGTGGAATTTTATTCCACCAGCTTCTCCAAATTTTGGCGGATTATGGGAGGCAAACATAAAAGCAATGAAACGCATTTTGTTAAAAGTGACAAAATCAGCTATTTTGAACTTTGAAGAGTTAACCACATTAGTGACTCAAATTGAAGCAGTTTTGAATTCCCGTCCCTTATCACCCCTCTCTTCCGGTCCCAATGACACTAATCCTTTAACGCCGGGACACTTTTTAACTGGAAATGCTATTTTATCTTTCCCTTAACCCCATACTGCTTCGGATTCTTTATCTTTTCATTCTAGGTGGAAACTTGTTCAGAATCTTCGGAATAAGTTCTGGTCGAGATGGAGCTCTGAGTATCTACAACACCTTCAAACTCGTGCGAAGTGGAAAGTTCAGAATCCAAACTTGAAAGTGAATCAACTCGTCCTTTTAAAGGATCCCAACACTAAGCCTATGTACTGGTCTTTAGGGCGCATCGTGAACGTTCTGCCTGGAAAAGATGGACTAGTTAGAGTTGTTGACTTCAAGACCTCGACAGGTGTTCTACGACGAGCCATCAACAAAGTGGCACCATTGCCGATTCCAGATAGCCCCGTAGACCCAGGAACATTTTGAACTATTCTGAACTAACTTTTAAACTCAATCAATTTGAACTTTAATTTCATTTAATTTGCTAATTTTAAAATTCAATACTTTAGATAAAGTCAGATTTAAATATTTTTATTCAGAAAATTTGATGTATTCTGAATTAATTCTTAATTATTGTTTAATTATTTTGGTGATAAATTTCATCGAAATTTAAGTGGGGAGAAAGGCAAAACCTCCTTACTGAGAGGGCGCTGTGAGCGCATCAACAAGCAGTGAACATGTAGACACGGAAGTGTTAAGTTGTATTAATCCTTTTTTCGTAATTAAATATTTGTTTTGTTATATTTGATTTGATTTCACCGATGAATTATTTTGAACTATTGACACAAAACCACTGAACCTCCCTTTATATTGATATGAACACGGAACACTTAGTTTACGCTAGAAAATATACGTACAGGAAAGGCAGACTATATTATTTTCTCAATCTTTTGGTGTTTACTAAAGTAAATGGTTTAGGAAAAGTTATGAAGTTTTGAATTGGTAAACAGCTATTTTGCTAATTAATATTCTACGCAATCTGATGATGATAAAATTAAGTAATTATAATTTTTGTGAATAATGTTTTATATAACTCTGTTTTAAATTAAGGGAGCGTAAAATTTTGTCTAACATTTGCTTTCTTTTGACTTATATAAGCCTTTAGGATTTTATCAATATTTTTTTTAAGTATTTATTAATGAGCAAAAATAAGAAACAAAAATACTTTTATGGATGTTTTTGTAAGGATTCCTAGATTAAAACTGTACGGACTGTTGAAGTTCGTACCTTTATGTTCTGTGAAATTTTCATTTATTTATTTTTGCTTGTTTGTTTACTGACAACACATATTTACTTGCGCATGCGAAGTAATTTATGACTTCATTGCAAAGATATTTCGTTAAAAAACCAAGCACATTTTAAATAATATTTTTGATCCAATTCTTTCAAACTATTGTTATTTTGTCAATTTTAAATAATATTTGACAAGATAACTACTATTCCGTACTTAAAAATGTATTTAGTGTGTTATTAAAAACACCAAAAATTATAGAAAATATACATCAAAATATTCTATGTACGTTTATAAGTGTATAAATGTACTTTCATATTAAAAATGTTTAAATGCAAAATAACATACTGCGTGTTTTTTCAAACGAATTATTTATTTTTCCAAAGAAGAATAGTTTTATACTCCACAAAATAAGATTGAAATTATTTTTCCAGTCGCCAACATATGACTAGAAAGAAAGAAATTTTATTATTTCTCCAAAAAAAGACAGATCTAAAAAAGGAAGTATTTGTGTAACTGGCTCTTAAGACTTGCGAATTCTATTATTGGAATCAGTTCATATTTTTCTTGAACCATTTATTTTTTTGCAAGAATGTGAAAATGGCATGAATCGATATGTTGTTTTTGAAAAGTAAAAGAATTTCAGAAATGGCGTATTGAATTGATCAGTTCTTATATTTTACATTAGCTTTTCTGAACAGTATAAAAATACCCGAGGGAAAGCAATCTGAACTTCGTTGAATGATTTTAAAATTGTATACCTAGATCGAGATTTAATGATGTATTTTAATGTTAATAGGAGTAATGGAATGTTTTACTAATAAAATGTTTCTGAAATTTTTTTCTTAAGAAAATTCAACAGATTCAGGTAAAGACCGAACTGAAGACAATTTCATTTTATTTTTTTTAACTACGCAAGCATAAGGTAAAAATTTAAATATTTTTCTAAACTTATCTATTGCTTAGTTACAAATCGTAATATTTAAATTGCATTACTGAACATTTTTCAATTTTGAGTTATGAATACATTTTTATAGTCAGATAGAAAGCTTTAATACGATATAATCTGCAACTGACTTCATAGTCAAGGCCTGGGATGCAGAAACTCTCCAGAAAGGCACCGAGCACCGTAAACTGTTTCAGCAGTTTCATGATTAGTTAGACATTTCAAATGAAATGATTTCATTTCAATTTCATCAGCTGCAAGCTCAACATTTTTAGAAATATTTTTCTTTTCTTTTCATTTCTTTATTATGTTTTACAACAGTACCTTCTTTTATTGAGCCGAAATATTCATTTTTCAACACTTCCACTCCTATTAAAACATGTGTAAACTAGCTTTCTTTAACAAATTATAGTGGTAAATTACCAGAACTACTGATTTAGCAAAAAGTGTTAGTTATTTGACTATTTTTTCGACAGATTTGGATTTCTGCCTGACTTCCAAAATATAAGGGGTAGCCGCAGTCTTTCCAATAATTTGGTCAGGAGAGCTCTCTAAAGCTTAGTCCCCTTAATCGGAGTTAGGGTTATAAACCCTAACAGCTAGTACTCTGACCTTTGATTTGCAAAAAACAACCTGGTTATAGCGCTGTTCGTTTTGGGATTCTTGTCATCTCCTCATCCTAATTAAAAGTAAGATAAAAGTTTCGAGAAAAGTGTTAGAAAATTTCGAAAATAAATATAAAATGTAACATATTAAAAATTTTATTTTTCCTGCAGCATTTAGGGCTAAAGCAACATCTGGCACGCAAATCTTTGAAATCACACGAAAGTAGTGAAAGTCGGAAATAACATTTTGAAATGAAGATGTAGGAAGTTGCAGCTAAAGGGACTGTGAAACTATTGAAAAAAAGCTAAGTTCTATTGAATTCTTAATTTTGAATTGAGAAATGTTATTTTTTAGTCATTCTTGGAGAATTTTTTTAAAATTTGCATGCAGAAGATAATTAAAGTTTTTTTTAAAGATTGACTATATATTTGCTTGCTTATTTTTTTCAATAAAAGTATAGTATTTGCTTTAAATGTATATTGATTTTTTATTAAATTAAATTAGAAGATCGCCCTACTCGTTTTGTTGCAATAAAGAATATTTTTAGTCTTAAATTTCGAAGAGATTCCAGATATCGCAAAATTGGTGCTAGAGATGTGCCTGGTAAATGTTTAATCGAGGTTCGGAATACATTGCCTAATATGCTGTTCTTGAAAAACAACATTTGTAAAAACAACATGGTTCTAGTGCTGCGTACTTTGGGATACTGATCTTCTCCTAATCTTGAACAACGGTAAACCTTTCTTTTCGTAAAATCCCTAAAAAAAAATATTGTTTTTTAAGTTTTTATTTTTTTTAAATATTTCTGTTCCACTTAAATTTTTTTTTTTAAAGATCGGTCCATTTCAAGAGTCCCCTATTATTTTATTATTTTTTGCCTAAGAAGTAAAATCTTTAGATTAAATACATTGCTATCTAAAAGAGAAACAAGACATCGCAAAATTTGTGTTAGAGACGTGCCAGGTAAAGGTTTAACCGGAGTTCGGGTTACATGGCCTAACAGCTAGTACTCTGATCTTTGATTTGTAAAAAACAACATGATTCCAGAGCGGTCTATTTCGGGGTTCTTGTCATTTCTATAACTTAATTAAAAGGATGATAATAGTTTCGAGAAAAGTGTAAGAAAATAACGAAATTAAAATTAAGGATATATTTAAATTTTTTATTCATATATTTTCCATTTTAAATTTTTATTTATAAAATTAATAATCATATCTTAATATGTAGAATTAAAATATAAAATGCAATTAAAAGTTTTATTTTTCCTGCAGCATTTAGTGCTAAAGCAGTATCTGCCATGTGAATCCTTGAAATTGCACGAAAGTTGTAGAAGTCGAAAATAACATTTTAAAATGAAGCCGTAGGAAGTTAATTTAAAAGGACTGTGACATCATTGAAAAAAAGCTAAGTTCTATGGAATTCTTATTTTTAAATTGAGAAATGCTATTTTTTTTAACATATTGTAAATTTAGGAGAATATATTTTTCAAAAAAATTGCATGTCGAAGATAGTTAATGTTTTTTTGAGGATCAAATATTTATTTGCTTGCTTATTTTTCTCCCTAAAATTTTAGTATTTGCTTTAAATGTAGATTGATTTTCATTAAAGTATATTAAAAAATCGCCCTACACTTTTTGTAGCGTTAAAGAATATATTTAGTCTTAAACATATTTAAATCTCGAAGATATTCCGGAAATCGCAAAATTTGTGGTAGAGACGTAGCAGGTAAATGTTTAATCGAAGTTCGGAATACATGGCCTTATAGCTAGTATGCTGTTCTTTGATTTGTAAAAGCAACATGGTTCTAGTTCGGTCTATTTTGGGATTCTGGTTTTCTCTGAACCTTGAATAATGGTAAACCGTTCGTTTATTGAAAACTCTAAAAAAAAATTAAGAAAATTAGTGCTTGTTAAATTTTTTTTTCATAATATTTTTGTTCAACTTTAATTTATTTTCTAAAGTTAAGTTCAGTTCAATAGTCCCTATTGAATCTAATAGCCCCTATTACTTTATTACTTTTTGCTAAGTAGTAAAATCTTCAATTTAATGTTAATTTTACTTCTTGCGTATTTCTATATATATCGAGAGCTTCTGAAGCAAAATGACAAATATTTACTCATAATTATAAAGTTCGTTTATCCAAAGATAATTCCAACAAAAATGATTTTTTAGTAATTATTTATAATTTTTTTGTAATTTTATTTAATTATTCTCGAAAAAATGTTGAACTGCAAGGAGTTCAAATTTTTTCGCCATTTTAAAGAATGTAATTTTACATTTACAATATAGAAAATTTGAGCAAAATAAGACAAATAGTTTCTAAGAAATCAAATTTTAAATATCTGACTGCGTGATAGTCGCAATCAGGGAACTATGGTTCCAATAGTTTGTTCAGGGAAGCGATCCAAAATTTAGAACCATCTTTATTTTACTTCTTGAGTATTTAATGTGATTTGAAAAATTTCTTTACACAATTATAAATTTTGCTTGTCCAAAGATAATTTTTATGCAAAAAGGACTTTTAGTAAATATTAGTTATTTTTTATTATGTTTTATTATTTTATTTAATAGCAGGCGAAACACTTTTGAGTTGAAAGATATATAAATTTTTTCATAATTTTAAAGTATCTAATATGCAATTAT